ATTGTTGTCAAAATCTTGCTGATACTTTTTCTTTGCTGAATCACATACATGATGGTCTTCCGGAGACCAATCCAAGTTACCCCATATCGTCTCTCCTCCTTTAGGTATCAAAGAAATGACAGAATCCCACGTTCGAGATACACACATGACATGATGTAGAGTTTGAAGGCCAAGAATTTCGGAATCTAGGAGACCGGGAGCCATTGCTCTGCAATATCAAATGCAGAAGAAATCATGGGCACGAGCACAATGAAAATAAAATGACAAGATTATACTTAATTGGATGAGGTTTAATTTGAATGTGTAATATGCAAAAAAATTAACCTGGTAAAAGCAACATCTTTGCTCTCGGCCGGCAAGATGTTACTGACAGCTTTCGGAACACCAAGAAATGCCGGACCGATAATTATGATTGATTTTATGTGCTTGTCACACCAGCCTGGGCCGCCACCTCCTCCCATAGGTGGAGGCGCTTCAACCCATTTAAGGAAATGGAGAAAATAGATAAAGCCCATGGAATGAGGCACCACCACCACCACTTTTTTATTCCCATTAGTTACATACAGAAGCTCGATATTACTCTTTAATCTGCTAAGATTTTGGTCCTGGACCTGCACAATCCAAATTGGGAATATAATATAGAAAACTCGACTCAATTGAAGACATTTACACATTACTAGCTAATTCTTTACACATATTAAACGGAAAAATCTGAGAGCACACAATACTTGACTGGACAGTACAATGAACAGCAGTTTAGTTTCTAAGCATAGGTTCTTGAACAATTACAAGACTAACATTCCACTTTCATGAGACACTTACAGTAAGGAAATAAGTAGAATATGCAAGAAGTTAAGGCTTGGCTATAGTTGCATTCTATCAATCAATTACAACAAAAGAATCTTGCACCAATCAAGATTACAGTAATGATTGGTAATAAATGCTCATATTATTATGAATTCTAGCATTAAATAACTAAAATTTGGCCCCACCTGATAATCTGCAGAGGACACATGGTCACATTTAATATTTATACAAAACTGGCTTGAGTCATACTTCATTGGAATTAAGGTTAACAAGATAACATCGATCAAAGGCAAAAAATGTACATCCTCTGTTTGCAAAATTTACCTCTGTATTCTGAAAAGATAGCCTCCAATCATATGCAGCCATGTACATGTTCTTGCCCTCGTAGCCCATGCAGGCTAAATTTTCGATAAGAATAGCCCAAACAAAATATCAGTAATCAGCTGCAACTAGTCCCTGAACCACACGAACCCTAATGCCCGGTGGATCGAGCCCCGTCTCATTGTCCAAAGATAGATGCTCCAACCAACACACAAGCCTAAATTCCATTAAAATAATCAGTTGGGTGCCACAGTCTCAATACAGATTTCAACCCCTTAAAGCCTAACTGTTAGGGAGCCTACAAACTTATTTATTTAAATTATCATCAACGCGTCCCACATACAAACTGATTTTCTCATGAAAGTCGTGCGTGACGGCGTGACGGCACGATACCATGTCCAACCAGGACAAGCTTATTTATTTAAATTGTATTTTAACTTGAGCACATAACAAAATGAAAATGTACAAACTACCTCCTCAAAATCTCAGTAAAGCTACCTCCCCAAAGCCGCTTGCGAAAAAGGCCGTCGGAACACGGTCTGCCCTCCCAGAGCTCAAGTCCTCCGGTGACAATGCCGGGCACCATCACAACCGGGTGGAGAGCCGCCAATCCTTCGTGCTTGAGCCTCATCCCTGGGGGTTCGGGCACCTTAAGTCCAGTCAAATTTGCAGGCAAACAATTGAACAGAAACAAGAGGAGCCACCAAACAGTGCAAACAATTGAACAGAACAGGAATCTATGCATCACCATTCCTTGTTAGGCCGTCTTTTTATCTTCTGATAAACCCTTGTCCTTTTTCTCAATTTTGGGGATTTCAAACGATTTCTTCTCATCGTCTAACTTAATTTGTGCCTTTTTTTTTTCATATAATTCTTTACACTTCGCAGGCTCCAGAACACACAGCTTTCGAAATCGCAGAATTGAACCCATTGCATAAAAAATTACAAGAATTTATAGACTATGAAGACAATGATCGTCAAAATCCCGATTGAGAAAAAGTAGGTACCTAAATGGAATGACAACATGAATTTTCAAGAATCCAAATAATTAAGTAAGAAAATGGGTGGTGGTGGCAGGTGTAGGGTGGTGCAAACCACGTGGTGGAGGAGGAGATATGGTGGTGTCTGTAGATTGAGTTGAAAACAACAAGAAAAAAGGAAAATTCGGCATATTAATTTCTTCATCAAGAATATTTTTTTTGCCCATAAAATTATTCCAATTTGTGGCGTTATATGATGATGAAACCAAAGAGCACCCACTCATTGTAATAAATAATTATTTTAATTATTTTTCTTTTAATAGATCATTACTAATTACTTGCTTTGAAAATTGAACTTCGGCAACAATCCAGGTCAGACGTGATTGTTCTCCAAGTTTGAACATATCAATAACAGAGAAAAAGAGTTTTATAAGGATTCCTCTAACAACGGCAAGCAAAATTGAAAAAAGTCCAACTTGATGATCAAATGACTTCGCTTTTCAAATTATAGTATGGAGAAGTGTGATCTGTTGATTTTTATGGCTTATTCATCAAGTTAAGGTCAGTCTAGGACAAAAGAGAGAAAAAAAGAAAAAGATAATGAGTATGGTCAAGTGTTTTAAATTGGTCGAGTACATAGTCGAGATAAAGCACGATAATGAGCAATAATGTATCGAGACTGAATTTGATAACATCTATTTCTTAATTTTATTTAGTGATATACAATTAAATTAAACATGAAAAAACGTGTCTATAATATAAAAAACCGTATTTATTGAATTTACACATTATAAAATATATACTCGAGAAGTTTTTTTTTTTGAAGGAACATACTCGAGAAGTATTTTATTTGAAGTGGATCTCCCTCTAATATTATTCGAAGTCCAAAAATAAAGTATGATTGAAAAGAAAACGAAAATAATGAACATCAAATAGTGGCTTGCTTGTTAGTTAAGGAAGACACTACTTTGGAGGGAAGAAGAAAGCAATGATGAAATTATAATTGGAAAGTTGAAAAAAATTGTGGATCTCATAAAATGTATGATTGAAAATGAGTTTTGAGAAAAATTGAGTCACACGAGGACTTAGTGTGAATACCACCTTTTAAAATTATTAACTATCATATGCGGTCATTGAACTTTGAGTGAATTTCAATCGGATCGTTAAACTTTAATTTGTCTTAAATGAATCGATGAACTTTAATTAGGTTTCAAATTTCATGGCTATACATTCCGTCACTTATCGTCCTCAAAATTGACGAAAATTGTTTGGCTAATAGTCATACCAAACGAAAAGAGAAAAATGAAAGTAACGATAATGTCTTTAGATTAAAGTGATAAAATGCATATTTTTTTAACCCCAATGAAACGTTGTAGTGAATAGTTGACAGCCACACGCCAATTATAAAATTTTCATTAATTGAAAAGTTGATTAAATAATGTGGCTTGAACACATCCCAATAATTGAAAAGTTGATTAAATAATGTGAACCTAATAAAATGTATGATTGAAAATGAGTTTGGAGAAAAATTGAGTCATACGAGGACTTAGTGTGAATACCAAGTTTTAAACTTTAATTTGTTTTAAATGAATCGATGAACTTTAATTAAAGTTTCAAATTTCACAACTATACATTCCATCACTTATCGTCCTCAAGATTGACGGAAATTGCTTGGCAGATAGTCTTACCAAACGAAAAGAGAAAAATGAAAATAACTATAATGTCTTTAGATTAAAATCCAATTAAAATTGAAAATATAGCCGTTATTAATCTCACTCGTCTAATAAAAGTCAACAATAACGATCATTTTTTCAATTTTAATCTCTACCGAATGGACTTTAAAGTAATAAAGTGCAATTTTTTAACACCAATGAGACGTTGTAGTGAATAGTTGACAGCCACACGCCAATTATAAAATTTTCATTAATTTAATATGGGATAAGGTATGTCGCGTATTGATGAAATTTATAATTAAAATTGAAATTCAATTATTTAGTTGAGATTAAGATTTCACAAAAGTTGAATAATTGCATATCAAATTTACCCCAAGACTAATAGTTATAAAATTTTGAAAAATGTTTGTTGTATATCATCATTTATAATCTTTTACGCATTGATATTGTGTCAAAAAAAGCCGAGTGTTTTTTTTTTTTTTTGTGAGATTTTGATCCAATCAAACCTCGATACATCGGCTGTTCATAAATAAATCTGTAAATTTTGGTGTGCACAACCGAGCATTTTTATACCCTCCAACCTCAAAAACTAGACCAAATTAATGACCTTAGAAATGAAAACCCGATCACTCTAGTTGATTTCATTTTTAGTTATGGAACTAAAAATTAATTCAAGATTATTTTGGAGGGATTATTAATTTATCGATAAATAAATAATTTATTAATTTATAGTGTATTAATTATTGTTTGATCTTGTCATTGTACACATTCGCCAACAAAACCTTGTGTATCGTCTCCTCCATAATCTTTTCGCAGAGGTGCGAGCCAATGAATCCTCCGGCGTCAATCATGCATATAGGTTTATTTATTAAAAAGGCGTTTTGCGAATATAACATCCTTTTTCTAAATTATAATTGTATAAATCTTGAGTTTAAGTGTAATATTTATTTTTTTGTTGACGTAAGAACCCGCAGCCGCTACCCGTGAGTGTACACTAGGTAAGCCTCGCTCCATGTGCTGTAGCTCGTAAACCACACAGCAGCGATAAATCGCATTAGGCAAGCCCGGTGCGACATGCTCGACGGAGAAAGTGTTGGCAGGGGATTCGAGCTCGTGACCTTCGATCTCCATGTTCACCTGCTCCACCAACTCGTTCATCCCTAAGGGATAAATTTTATTGAGAGAATGTGTGATTGATAAGAGGATATAGAAAGATGAATTAAAATTTAGCGGGGGGGCAAATCATTGGCTAATAAATTAATTTTAACCGTTAGATTAATTTAAATAAAAAGTAATTATGTGCGAGTGGAAGATCGCCCCCGTTCCCTTGTGATTTATATTTGCAACAAAGAGAAAGTCAATTTCATTTTTGTTATGAAAGAGACGATTTTACTAGGAAATGGAAATTAGAATTCATATTTGGAACAGAAAAGGGAAAGTTTCCCTATTCTATCGAGTCTTTTCCTCGTTTCATCACAAGTTGAAAAGAAACAAAATTTATTAGAATCTCAAAATATATTAGAAATTGCATAACAGGTATATAAGTTTAAATAATATGATATACATTAAAATACCGATGATACTATAAATGATTTTATATTATAGTATATTAAAAGAAGTATTATGATATGAATATTAGAAAATAATAATAATAATAATATTTAATCAAATAAATATAGTTTATCCTGTCAAACTATTAATGTGATATTGACAATGTTTTTCAAATAGACAACACCATTTTTAATAACTATTAATTAACATTGATCTAAAAGATGGGAAATTATTTCCCTCAATAAAAAAATCACAACCTTAAAATATTATAAGTTCCTTTCTACTTATACACAAGAACTGTTTAAGATGGACGAGCCAACTCCAACGAGAATAAAAAAAAAATGATTGGCGAGATTGGTCCCTAATGCTTTTTGACAAGCATTTGCTGCAAGAGGTCGTTGTATTTTCATACTTTACTTCAACGATTTTCAATACAAAAAATTGAATTGGACCGAATCGAAATCGGTTGATTCGATTTCGATAGATAGAACCAATGTTGTATTTTTAAGATTCCAATTGATGCTCGATTCGATTCAATTTCCTTTCGAATCGAAATATTTCGTGCCCAATCTAACAAATTTGTTAATAGGATACTTGTTGTATTTTATATACAATTTATAAATGGAAGTACTCCAAAATTAGAATGAAAGATGTTTATAAACGATTGAAATTATAAACATAAATAAATGAACGGTGGATAGATTCATTGGGTCCTCTAAGACTAGAACATCTTATTTCCTATGGTGAATCCATCCAATTCGATCAAATATTAATGAGCAATCATAACGTGAGCAGATTCGATAGGGGATGCAAAGACAATACTTCAAGATCCATTCAATTCATCTATGCAAAAAGTAACAATATAGTTTGTATAACGGTGAAAAGTGATGGCTTCTAACTTATCATTCACGAGCTTTATTAGGTATGAAAATATTTGTCAATTTCTCCGAGTTTCATCGCTTTCCATATCTTCAAACACAATTTGTAAGGATTTGCATGTGAACCACTGAGAAGGTTTCGCATGGCATTCCTATATTTTCAGAAACTTGCTCTCGTTTTGTTCACCTAAACAAGTTGATTAAAATTTAAGGACTTGTTTGATCCCCATTTTTAAAAATACAATTTTCTCCTCTTTTTTTTTTTTTAATCAAACACCACACTCAATTCAGAAACTTTACATTCATTTTTAGGATGTGTTTGATGGATATTATTTTGGAAGAATGTATTTTGGAATAGTAAATTGATAGAGAATGTGTGGTTGAAAAAGAAGGAAAAGTTATTGATGTGATGGAAAATATTATTTTAATGAAAAATGTGTGGTTGAAAATGAGTAGAAGAATGAGAATGAAAATTTTAATGGGTACCAAACACACCCTAATAACACATTCTCAATCAATCTATTATTTCAAAATGCATTATATATATAAAAAAAAAACATGAGGCTCGAACATGCCTAAGTCAAACTCGATAATTATGTTTATTTAATGGGACATGCAACTCTTCAATCACATTTTTATCAAAATCTACTAATTTTCATTTATACCAAACAATGGCTTAATTTTAAACTACAAAACAAATAAAGTGAAAATACTACCCAAAAAATAAAAAAAGTTTTGAAATTAGTTAATTTTAACCACGCTAAACCAAAAAGGCGCTAAAAAGAAAAAGAGAACGAGTTATGAGTCAACTCGGCAATATTGTTTATAAATAGTACATATTCACGCCATTTATGTTCCTAGTTTTAGTTCAAATCAAATGCTAAAGCAGAATGTCAGAATCAAGCTTGTCTCAACTGGTAAAGCTACTGAATTAGCTAAATTTAAAATTTTTGATCTGCTTTACCTTTCTAATTTGATTTGTAATTGGTAATGAAGGAACCTTCTGTGGTGAATGGCTTCGGTTCAAGGTGGGGAGGATGGGGTAAAATCGGAACATATATATGGAGAAACAGAGAAGACATATTCTGGGAAGTGGTTCAGATCTGTGACGGATTATACGGCAAATGTAAAGGAAACAAACGCACCAGTCGTCCCACTGAAGAGGTTGTTATTCGTGATGCAGTAGATTTCATTAACCTCACTTCGCCATGAGGCAGTGAGGCAATGCAAATAATAGGAAATAGAAGGTAAATAAGGTAGCGACATAGATTTTGAGAGTGTATTGTGTCGGACACCAGCTTGGAATTGGAAAAATCACATGAATTGTGTATTCTGTTCCCTTGTATTTCCAGATTCTGATTCTTGTGTGCCTATACCGATCACTTTTGTCTAGAAAATTTTGTAAGAATGATCATAGGTTTGAAGTATTGGTTATTTTTACCGTTTTGATGAATGCATAAATCTCGGATTTATTAAGTTAGTCATGTTATTCAGCAGTTTTGGATCCTCCCTCTTTTTTGCATATGCATTGTATGTTTTTAAGTTTTTGTCAACTACATCTTGTTTATTTGAATGATTGTTGCTTGTATCATAGAAACGATGATGAAAGTCTGAAATTCATATTCTCAATCACATCTACACCCCCACAGTTTTGGAAAGAAATCAAACAAACTTAAAGGTCCAAGTTCAAGTTCAGGAATGTGAAGCGAAGGAGGGAGGCTAATTTCCTGTGCCGTGGGACTTGTGATTGACAAAGTCTCTTCCATAAGGTGGGAAATTTGCTTTGACAATTGTTTCAATTATTTCCCACATCAACAACTGAGTCTCCAAATATAAAGAGTGCAGGAACTAGAGGCTACGAATTTATCGCGCCGAGACGACATAAAACAACAATGAAAATGGCAAGGAAACTTGAAATTTTCATGGTTTAAGGTACTAGGACTTCTTACTTAGTATTGATACTAGAATGACAGGGAATAATCTAAACGTAATATGATAAGCACACAGAACCTGAAATGCTCAAACCACCTGATCATATGTTCCGCCCATCCACTTACCATAAAGCACAACATTATGCATAACTCAAGAAAGCAGACAATGAAATTTAAGTCTTACCATCTGAAAGAATTCAAGTGAACTATAGTTGAAATGCATGATGTGTGAGAACGAACAGAAACAGGCCTATGTCTAACAAAACATAAATTAGGCCAGAGTGCATGAGTGAATGGAGTCTCATCTATTTCATAGTAACTTCAAAAACCACCATAGCAAGGGACCAAGGGTTGAAATTGGTGTGCAAGTCATCAAAAATTGGTAATCAGCCACAGTTCAAATCTTGAAGGGTGGTTAGCCCATGAAATCATGGAGTCTCATGTATTTCTCAGTAACTTAAACAACAACTATAGCAAGAGACCAAGGGTTGGAACCAGTGGGTAAATTTTCAAACACTGTCAAGGAGTGACAGTCCAAGTCCTGAGAGGGTGACGTGAGCTTTGGTAAGTATTCAAACACAGGTTATCCTATTCAAACTAAGGTAACTAAGCCAGTTCCAGATTCGAATGTTTGAAATAAAACGAGATTTTGGTTAACTTATTTATTTGTTGTTAGTAAAAAAGAGATTAGCATTTACATCACAGTCATTTTGTTATAACATAAGTTGAGTCTCCCTTCCCTTTCTGACCTTAATTTGCTATATTTACTCAAAAAACAGGCATCTGTGCAGCAATTGCAACATTTAAGGGGAAGGGGATTGGGGGTGGCAACCTGCACAATTATGCATGAACATGAACTACGAGTACCTATCTAGCAGCCTTTGATGGGCAAAAGTTGCTTCATCAACTGAAAGTATGTCTCCATTAATTCTTGGAATGTGCTGTGTAAACAAATGAATAAATGTTTTTAGCTCTACTTTAAAAACTGATATCATTCGAGCACATAAAACTATGTCAATTGATCGTGGAAACTTGAAAAGTGTTAATTGCATTATTTCTTCATATTTTTGGTGCACAATTGCATTATTTCTTCATATTTTTGGTGCACAAAAAAATGTTTCAATAATGGCATAAAACAAATTCAGGCTATGCTTATTTGCTGGAGTATTGATGAATGTCCTAAAGCAATCTTCTCCTCAGAGGTTATAAAAAGAAATAGGTAGCACATGAAAAGGAGCACACTGGTACCTTAGACATCAACTAACTAAATATTTCGATATTCAACGACCAATCCTAATCCACATAATTATTTACTAATTTTACTTATATGTCACTATTTTACTATAAACAAATTAGTGAATCTTCCAGGAAGAATTATTGTCTGAAACTCAATTTTTGAGACACGAGAGAGAAGTATATTATGAATCCAATTAGTGGAGAAAGTTTCAAAATATTTCTCTTGACAACAAGAGTAATCATGGAAAATGAAGATCAGACAACATCCAGTGTGCCATTGAATCACAGTGGATTTCTTCACTGAATAGAGCAAGTACAAGAGGAAAAAGAAAGATAACAGAGAAAATAAACAGAAAACCTCTTTACCCTATCAAATGAACCTGGTTGAGTAAAAGCAACACCAGCAGCTTCCAATAGATTTCCTAGAAGGCAAGCATAACCAGGAAAGTCACTTGATATATCAGCTGGAAGAACATTAGTGTGATCTTTCACACACAGCGCCATCTGGTGGACATAATGTTGACTTAACCCTGGTGTTGCAAAAATCTGTAAATGGAAATAAAATAAGCGGTCAAAGTACAATTAGCTACAGACAAAGATTGTTTCACAGTTATAAAAAAGAAGCATACACCCCTTCAATAGAATGGGTTGGGCAGATATTTTCTTCAACATTTTCTCTCTTTAAACATGGAACGTATTCAACCATATCCAGAATCATGTATTACCTAAACAAGGACAATGAAACTAAATTGTAATACAAAATGGTGATTCAAACTACCTCTTTGAGGTGTGGAAAGAACCGCCACAAGAATTGAAATGTAAAATTTGGGATGAGAAACTCCAAAAAGGATCAATATCTGGACAACAACACGTTCCCATACCCACGTGAGAAATGATATGGGCAAGAACACGCTCCAACGAAGAGACAATCCCAATGGAACCTTGAAACTTTTGCTAAAAATATTAAATCACATCATTATCATTATTCATGACAACTACAGTAGATCTCAGATCAAATCGATACATAACTACCCCTACAACCCGAGCACTCTTATTGGTAAAATAGCAATCAAAGAACTGGATAATTATAAGCAAGAGCATTCGGTTAAACAAATCCCATGAGCAGGGAGATACGTTATACAGATAGAGTACCCCAATCATTAGACTACACAAATAGATTCCATGCCAAAGAAGGAATATTTACTTCACTTTTTTTTAGTTTTTTTCAGCCTCTATTATCATTTATTTTGATTCTTCAGGTGTTTATTAGTGTTTTTCACATGACAATAAGTTATGCAAGCCAGATTGTCATTATAATCCAACCTTAAAACAGCCTATCAGGATGGTATGCAAAAGTGACAAAAATGATACCCTGTGAATGGCATATACTACATATTCTGTGTGTTCTTGAAGTATCCGACCATCCATCGCAGAATGTTCGCCTTCAAGATCCACATCAAACCAATCAAGCATGGAAGTGTATTGACTGGGTAATGGAGTTCCAGTAACATCAGTATCTACTCCTCCCCTTCCAAGATTTAGGGAAGCTTCTTGGTAAAATTATGCTCAAGCGGGCCTCCTTTGTAAGCCCTATCATATTCCGCAGCCAGAGATCTCACCTATATCAATGAGGGTGAAGCAGAAAAATCATAGCACACAACTCAGACAGATTCAATAGATACCCATTTAGCAAATATCAATTCAAACTTTAAGCATTTTTAATCGATTTACAAATAGAGCATTTGCTTTCATCATTATCGTATAACGTGAGAACCACCCAAAAATATCAAAGAACTGGATAATTATAAGCAAGAGCATTCGGTTAAACAAATCCCATGAGCAGGGAGATACGGTATACAGATAGAGTACCCCAATCATTAGACTACACAAATAGATTCCATGCCAAAGAAGGAATATTGACTTCACTTTTTTTTAGTTTTTTTCAGCCTCTATTATCATTTATTATGATTCTACAGGTGTTTATTAGTGTTTTTCACATGACAATAAGTTATGCAATCCAGATTGGCATTATAATCCAACATTAAAACAGCCTATCAGGATGGTATGCAAAAGTGACAAAAATGATACCCTGTGAATGGCATATACTACATATTCTGTGTGTTCTTGAAGTATCCGACCATCCATTGCAGAATGTTCGCCTTCAAGATCCACATCAAACCAATCAAGCAAGGAAGTGTATTGACTGGGTAATGGAGTTCCAGTAACATCAGTATCTACTCCTCCCCTTCCAAGATTTAGGGAAGCTTCTTGGTAAAATTATGCTCAAGCGGGCCTCCTTTGTAGGCCCTATCATATTCCGCAGCCAGAGATCTCTCCTATATCAATGAGGGTGAAGCAGAAAAATCATAGCACACAACTCAGACAGATTCAATAGATACCCATTTAGCAAATATCAATTCAAACTTTAAGCATTTTTAATCAATTTACAAATAGAGCATTTGCTTTCATCATTATTGTATAACGTGAGAACCACCCAAAAATTTATAACCTATGCCATCCACATCATCATATAAGAATGGTTTAGTAATACAAAACCACTGACATTATTTATTGAGCAAATTGTTCACTCTACCTATCCAGGAAAAAGGTCTTATTAACAAAAGCTCATCGTATTCACCAAAAAATACAAATAGTATAGTAATTTTGCCATCTCTGACGACAAGAGAGACAAAGATATGAAAAAAAGCAGATCAGCCATTGGATGGCTAATTGCACAATTTTTGTTTAGTGATCAAGCTTATGACCGACTTTTGTTTACTACTGGTCCTAAAAAATCATCCCAGAATATGTATGACAGAAAAATGATAAATAAGGAGGGACTTACCTGTTTGTAGCTTCCACCATTACCAGGGATATGAAGAACATAAATGTCATTAAGCTTCTTAAGGTGAACATTGAAACCAATCTTTCTCCATCTTTCATGGTATAGATATAAACTATATTTGACGGATGACATGTTTGCTGGTGTGGAGATGCGACTGTATGTGGGCAATCACCTGTTGTTGCAGGCAAAGCTTCCATCCAAACAATCAGGAAAAAAGCATGAAGTGGTCGAAACGCCAGTAAATGCCAATAGAGAGGGAAAAAAGTAGCATGAAAGCAAAGTCTATCAAATGATAGTTATGTGTATAAATCACACTAAAAGTTCAATTAATCCTCTTGAACTGTCAACAGGTCTCAAATGAGGAATTTGCAAGGAGATCGACAAACTGACAAATTAATGGAAAATCCTGAGGGGATTCAATGATGACATAGGAAAATGAACCCACTATCATTTATGATTAGCGCTTGTTATAAAACATGAATGCACTTTATATGAGCCATCCAAGAAAATATGGTCAACAAAGGAGAAATGGCACCCAGAAATGCTAATTGACTTTTGATTTGTCTCAATAACTTTAAAACGGAAGGTGATTCCTCTATTCTACGGGGATACAAAGATCAAACCATGCACAATTTCTTAATACATTTTCCTTAATACAAAATAGTTAACACGACATTGGGCTTAAATGGAGGGAATGACATAACAAATCACACAATCTTCACAGAAATGCACTCCATGAGAAGCTGGATACAAACTATACTTCGGTTCGTACAATTGCTTTGAGCCACAAGGAACAAAAAGATCAAAGAAGAACAAGCAATGTCTTTTAGAAATGAGTGAGCAATCAAAAAGGCAGTAACTGCAACAAAAAGCTATATATACTGAAATATTGAAATATAAATTATACAGTCAAAAAATCAGAAGGAAAAGAGAAAACCCTTAAAAATAAGAAACGATAACCATAAATAGCAGATGCAGTAGAGTGAGCCTCAGCCTACCATGTAAGATTTTCTTTCGTGTCAATTTTATTGCTCATTACAAGAATTATCCAAATTTATAGTTTGGCCAATAGAGCAAAAACAAAGAGTACGTTTATGTAGTTTGGTCAATAGAGCAAAAAAAAAAAAAACACATTTTCTTTAATCTACTTACAAAAAACTACATGTATTACTTTTTCGTCCAATCCAGAGAAGTGAACTTTGTGAATACTATGTATTTAAATCACAAAAAAATAATACACATTTTCTTTAATCTACTAACAAAAAACTACATGTATTACTTTTTCGTCCAATCCAGAGAAGAGAACTTTGAGAATACTAAGTATATAAATCACAAAAAAATAAAAAATAAAAACATTTCTAAAAGCTTTTAAACAAAAAATGGAAAATAAAAAAACAGAATCTGTCCAAATAATTCAATAAACAAAACAAAAACAGAGTCCAACCAAAACGTCAAAACTACAAGTAAAACCCTAAACTCGACACCCATCTTAAAATTTTATACAGAAAGAAAATAAAACCCTAATTATCAATTTGTTGTTGCATGATATATTTTTCTTTTTACAATTTCTTAGCATACATATCACCTTGAACCATTAAATTTTTTAATGCTGGTGTCCATGGGATATTGAGTTGTATAATATCAATGATCGATCAATGAAAATATACGAGGTAGTCAACTATGATTTGATGGTCATGTTACGTACTCTATTTTTACCATGTCTTAATGAATGGGTTTACAAACAACGGATTTGATTGACTCTTGTGCACAAATGGACCCTCAATCTTGTATCGTGGCTTGCCAATTGAACTCAACACGTTGTGAAGATATGTAAACTCGTGTTGAAAGTTTCTAGATGCTCTAATAAGGGTGCGTTTGATTCGGTCCAAATTCCATGGAAAATGGAAAAAATTTTCCAGTTTTCCACTTTTCATGTGTTTGATGTGTCTTTTTTTCTAGGGAATCCATTTTCCACCTATTTTATGTATTTAAATCACAAAAAAATAATAAAAAAAACATTTCTAAAAGTTTTTAAACAAAAAATGGAAAATAAAAAAACAGAGTCCATCCAAATAATTCAATAAACAAAACAAAAAACAGAGTCCAACCAAAACGTCAAAACTACAAGTAAAACCCTAAACTCGACACCCATCTTAAAATTTTATACAAAAAGAAAATAAAACCCTAATTATCAATTTGTTGTTGCATGATATATTTTTCCTTTTACAATTTCTTAGCATACATATCACCTTGAACCATTAAATTTTTTAATGCTGGTGTCGATGGGATATTGAGTTGTATAATATCAATGATCGATTAATGAAAATATACGAGCTAGTCAACTATGATTTGATGGTCATGTTACGTACTCTATTCTTACCATGTCTTATTGAATGGGTTTACAAACAACGGATTTGATTGACTCTTGTGCACAAATGGACCCTCAATCTTGTATCGTGGCTTGCCAATTGAACTCAAGACGTTGTGAAGATATGTAAACTCGTGTTGAAAGTTTCTAGATGCTCTAACGTCTTATTTTTGAAGACAACTTTTATCAAATTATAGGCAGTTGGTATCGTCACGGTAGACGAGAACTCCCAACCCTAAACTTGAAATCTTACTTATCGGGCTTGTTCACTCTCCGCAGCGTAGCCGGCGGCTATCTTTAAATGGGGAAGCACGGGAAAAAGCAGAGTCACCGCCATAACCGCCAAGGAAGAACTGCCTCATACTATCTTGAACAACCAGGTGAAGAAATACAAGATTACCCATTAAGCCCCCAAACTTCTTCTGCTCAAGAACCCACTCTTTCTGAATCTGATAAAGAATCCCATGAAGAAGAAATCCAGGAAAAAGAAACAGATTTTGATAAAAACCCATCAATCAACAATGATCTCCCGTCAAAATTCTCTCTTTATCAACAATCCGTACAGGTGAGAAGGCCCCTTTCTCTAGAGCTCTCAATAACAAGATTTTAATTTTATTTTTTTGTCAACGCACTCGAATACTGTCCAATCCTACGTACCGTATACGGCATAAATTTAAGCCATATAACTTATATTTCCTATGAATTAATGGCGTTATTTAATAAAGATTGCACATGAATGCATTTTTATGGATGCAGTCTCCAAAAGGGGATATAAGTTACCTGCAGAAGTTTTTCTTGATGTATGTTGGCGGGAGGCTACCCCTCCACCTCCAGGAAGATTTTTGCGGCACTGCACTTTTGAGGTATAATATTGTAGTTTCGTTATAGTTTGTCTTACTTATTTGTAGCATTTATTATACGCATTTGCTTCTATAATGCCCGAATGTTACCCAAGAAACTAAAGCTTCTCGATTACGTTCCAAGGAAATGAAGAAAATAGCTGTCATATAATGATAGGTGGTAGTTTTTCTATTATCGCAAGACGTTAGTCAATACTTTCCCCCCTTTTTGCTCCAATTTACCTGATCAAAATTTCCCTTTTCTAACACATTCTACTGATAATTTGTTCCAAGAATTATAAAGGAGTTTTGGACTCATTTTTCTTCCTAGTTTTGAGCAATAGTATTAACTTTAATGCAATTAGAAGGTTAGTTGGTCGATGAAATACAATAAAACATAGCTTAAGTTACATTACCTTCTATTTAGTCATGATCATTTGTAGGTCATTTGGATGCCTCTTTTGCAATAAAGTTTAGTTCTGCCAGATTCTCGTGTCTGGTTTTTCTCCAATAAAAAGCATCAATATATGTCAAAATAACCTGTTTGCAGTGATGAGGCCATCCCCTGATTTTTTGTAGTTAGTGGCACTGGCACCATACTGTTTGGTGTTGTCCGTTTTAGGTTATGGCCTAAGAAATAAATTCCATGACTCAGTGCCTGTTTTAGGTATGGCATAGTAAAGTAATTCCCTTGATCAGTGTGTGGACGAATGTTGTGGATGACTTCGATTGACTATAAAATTGTTTGAAACCAGAAATTAAACTAAGAACCTTCTGACATTTTAGAGACATGCTATATCAGCTAGATGAGTAGGTATGTTAATAACTCAGCTAAGATTCCGTAAATCCCTGTTTCAGCTTGTAATCATGTCATTGTCTATAAACTATAAAGGTAGCTAATATTTCCACTTATTTTATGCATTTGGCAGTGTAGAATGGCTTCACAGTGATGCGCGGCGAACTGCTGTAGGATTAGATTTGGATGCTGAGGCACTCAATTGGTGCATGGAGAACAATATGAATAAAATTGGGGCTGATGTCTATTCAAGAGTTTCCCTGTTTCATGGCAATGTCTTGCAACCTCTGGAGTGCAGATTGGTTAATTTGGATTCCCATCAGATCATCGAGAACATTACAATAGACGATGAAGGCGAGTCAAAGACTAGCTCTCTGAATTCTATTATACAGGGAAGCCCTATGGCTGTTTGCCAAACTAAGTTGATGAAAGACACTAAATTGCCTGCAAGAGATATAGTGTGTGCTTTTAACTACAGTTGCTGCTGTCTGCATAGTCGTAAAGAGCTGGTTTTGTATTTCAAACATGCACTCAATGCTCTGAGTACAAAAGGTGGTATATTTGTGATGGATCTATACGGAGGCTCGTCCTCAGAGTGTGAGCTAAGGATGCAGAGGAGATTCCCAAATTTTACGGTAATCTTATTTTCCATTCTGTGAAGCTGTCTATTATTTGTTATCATTAATTCTGATGTTAGAACTCACTGGTATGATCCAAAATTACAATTTTCATCCAGAAACAAGGATTCCTAGGGTTCATCAAATCACAGTATTACCGGGAGAAGAATTCCCTCAAAGTTTTGGATGGGAAACTAAATTTCGATTTCCAATGCTGGCATTGGCTTTCCATAATTAATAAGAGAAGGTTCAAATTATATAGTATCCTTTGTGGAAGTAATGAAATTTCTAATGAGGAACTGTTAAATCTATAGGTGATCCTTATTACGATCTGACAGATCTCCAGTTAATCCTAATTTACGCTTATTGACAAAAAAGAAATAAAAAAAATACTGCAACACTCCTCAAACTAGCAGCCTCAGGTTTGACAGTGTTAGAGCTGTCAATCAAAACTGACAGTCAACTCTCTTCTCTTTTAAACTGCCAATTCATTCAGTTGCGGTGATCTAGTTCGGGACAAGTTCTAAACACCCCGGCCTTTACAAGCATTTGTCTAAACTTCATACTCGATAAATTTTTGACTCCTCTGCCAAAGACAGTCGAGGGTACTAATATCTTCTTCACCACGTAGTAGTATCACCTACTTTATTCCTTTGACCATATGATTAAGTCATTTTTTGATTAGAATATGTGAGGTTACTGACACCCCTTATCTCCTTGGCAGTGGAAGAAAATTTGTAAATCTGATTGTCTTTGGGATCCACGGAATCGATAATCCATGATATGACCCACGAGTTCTTAGCATTGGAGTCTTAAATCTTCACATCTCTTTAATCTGTTTCCTTCCAGGAGCCATCGAGCAATACCTTCTTTACATTGCATGTCATGAAAAATTTCATATATCAAGACCATTGTTGACTGTTGTTTTCATGGAGATTATGGTTGGTAGTGTGTATTGTAGGGCCGTCATTAAGATTTAGTTACTTCAGATCTTCATGTAGATCTAGCAACGAACCAGACCAAACGAAGTTGTACGAAAGGATAGCTTAACTGAAGTTTATTAGGAAAATTGTTTTGTTTGTTGTTGTTGCTTGAGATAGAATAGACATTGGATCACCCAAACAACCAAGTGTGACGCCTAGACCACACCTGTATTTTTGCATATGGGCAACAATGAAAGCTAACCAAAAAAAAAATACAAAAGGAGCAAAGGGCCCTTGAAGGAATGCCAGAAGCATAAAACTCAGAACAGGATGATGGATTTATTACCGTGACAGAAATTGGATGGATTTCTACCTTAATTTTGCCTAATATGTAGATCTTTCTATGCTCTAGGAATATTTTCGTCCATTCTTTCTTTCTTATTTATCTCGACATGCGTACCCTTTATTATGTTTGATACAAGGTCTGCAAGTCCCATATTGAAAGTAATGTTTTCAGATAATCCATATTTCTCACTTGACTTCGAAATGAGGTCGCTGACATTTATTTTTTTCCCCTATAGAAGGTCTACAAATTCAGTAAATTTTGATTTTCTTCAAGAAACTTTTTTCTGTCTGTTAGTAATCCTTTTTTTGTTGAGAAAATCATATCCCGCGGCAAGATCTTTATGGTTCAAATATAGTTATCCAGTCATTGCATAAGAAGTTACATTGAGGTAGATGAAGAACCAATCATCGACTAAAATGTATTTAGGCCTGGTGGAAGCTAGAAGGACCTTATTTTGAAAGATAACTGCCTGCACAAATGTAACTTCCTGTTTTCATACCTCTTTGCTTCGACCATACAACTTCATTTGAAGTAGTTTTTTTTGTGAAAACTGAAGTTGGATAATTCTCATTATTGAAGTCAAAATTATTGCCAGTATCAAAGTTATAAAAGATCTATTATTGCTCTTTCATCAAACCGCTTGATGATTCTTAAGTCTTAATTCTTGATAAATAATTTCTATAAACTCTGTTGATATTTACCTTTCAGTATACTTGGGAACAAGCTGGATTTGACATCATTCAGAGGAAAACTAGGATTAGCCTCCATTTTAATCTCCATAAACAGCATAAAAAGATTCGCCACGCGTTTAGCTACAGCTGGAGACTGTAAGATCTGTCACTTACTCGAGATGCTTTTGTCCTTGTCACATATTACTTTTGTTTCTCCTTATGCTTGAAATAATTTGCATTTGTTTATATGAGAAATTGGCACTATTGGCCATAACCTGTTTTCCGAGTTGGTCTTCAACGTTTCGTTATAATAGTTGGGAAAAAGTTCCCGTTTCATAAAGTTTGATATATTTTGTGCCAGCTGGTCCTTGCCTGAAATTAAGGAATCCTTGGAGGAAGCTGGTTTTCAATCTGTCCACTTTTGGATTCGGAATATGCCAGATAGTGAAGAAATTAGATGTATGGACGGGTTTCCTGTTGGACGAGACTTGAAATACGAAGAAGTCACAAGTTTCCAACAACAGGATTCGTGGAATGCTTATATCGTCGGTGTTGCATAGTCATTCCTTAGTGCTATCAACCTGTTGTTATTTGAAGTCATTATCAGATGCTGGAAGATGCTTGCAAAAAGCTTGCGTAGGTTGACGACTTGGGTTTACTTTGTACATGCTTCCGATATTCTTCTCAAATTAGACAATTCCTCTCAAGCATCTTCATGGCTAAATACACATGGCACGCTTGTTCACGAAATTGACAATTATTGTGTTAATCCAAACAGGTAGATTGTTGGCAACATGCCGTTGATATGCACGAAAGGAATGGCATTTCTTGGTGGTACTCGAAAGAATCCTTTGAACAGTTGGAATGAGCAGAGACTTTGTATATTTTTTACTGAAATTTTTCGGGAAGTCTTTCAGACTATAAATGATTGCATGCCACATTTAGACATATTTGGTAAGAAGTATTGAACATGATTATCACTATAACATGATTTTAGTTTCTTTTTCTTTTTCTTTTTCTGGACGTATATTTCTTCCGTGATGATTTTGTCATTGCATTTTTCTCTCACACCTATATTTCTTAAAAATCAACTAAACGTCATATGGGCAATTTGCTCGTGTAATTTAAACTCAATGGTCCGTATCGGAGAAAACTAGGACAGGACTTCAACGTGGGTTTATCCTGCTCAAAAAGGTTGTCCTTGTCTCATGTTACAGTGCAAATTTCTATCCTTTTCTTGACAGCCAAATTCCTAGTGTTCCACGCAACTGTCGTTTAGGCTTGTCAAATTATGCACATAAATCATTGCAAAATGGCTGTAAATTATACCAAGAAAATATCTGCTGCATCAGCTCACTAGGACGTCCAAGCAAAGAGGAAGCTTATTCAAACTATCTTCAAGTGGTTCTCTCCCTCTGAAAATTTATCCCTTTCAGTTTCTAATGCTAGGACCCTAATTGTGTCCCACGTAGTAGGCTAAGTTTAGTTTGTGGGTTTTAACCAATTGGGCATTCTTCTCTTGCAAGCAACCTTTTTAAGGTGATTCTACTATCGTGGTTGTTACAATTTTGAATGGCCGAGTAGGCGGTAGAGTGGGTAAGGGTCGGAGCTGCAAGAAGTGGGGTAGGAAGTTGATGAACACGACAAAGAAGATAACAACAATCTTGAAATATGAACAAATTATATATCATTCTACATAATATCAATGGTAACAACTGGCTCTTTGAGGTCTTATCATTTTAATGTCCAATTTCATGAAGTTAGATTTTGCTTCCCAGTTTGGATTAGAAATTTCAAATTTCCATAAGAGCCATACAACAATTTAATGATTTTGATGGTTTCTATCTATACGGGATTAGTTGTGCAACTATAATGAAAGATTGATTATCAACTTGCTACTCTAGCAATTGTTTGGGGACATACTTTGCATTTTCCCTGACAAATTATGAATACATTTAAGAAAAAAAAATGTTAAACATAAAGGGCATGATGTTATTTCCAAACTTTGATCAATAAGAAGTTATTTATTTCAAAACTTATAAGTAAACTTTTGAAGCTTAGCCAAACAAGCTATAAAAATGGATCTTTCAGCTTCGCCTTTCAGTGTATATCGAATTTGACATGCTTCTCCATGCAATGTGGCATAGACATGCTTATGTGTTTTGTTCTTATTTTACTTTATTTGATTGTATGCATTCTTCTATCAACGAAGTAGTACACTAAGTAGATGTTTGGTTACACAAATTTCAATAAGAGAAATCATGGTCGTCATTTTATCTTTCATGAAAATGTACGACAACAAGGTGTTCAAAGTTTATACCGAGACATGATTGTTAGTTATGGCAAATGGTAATTTGATCCTAAGGATATAAGCAACCCTTTTCCGAGTAATAACGAGGCTCTATTTAGTTATGACAAACATGCGAAGGAGTTAATTCTAATCGAGTTGAGTCGATATTTATCCTAGCATCTTTCATGGATTCGATATCACGAGGTTCCCGATGTTGGCACTTGTTGATCTATAATTCAAGTTTATGTGAAGCCATCTTTAAGGAACTTGTGTCGACATAAATTCGACAATGTATAAGATTGTGCTGATTAATTAATAACAATTAATATAAGGCCTCCAGATGTTCAACTATTGAATTGATACTCCAAATAAGAAGAAAAACATAGGTTTTTTCACAAGTCTGAGTGTCGTGATAAGATAAACTCAATGAGATATGCAATTAAATGAGTAATTTAATTGTACCTCTCATTTATTGTTATGTCACCTAAATTGATGGTAAATAGTATTACTCATTTTATTTTCTCCCACTCTCGTCTAGTTTTATAAATTAAGGGCTTGTTCGAGCTCTATTTTTTAAATTCTTTTTTTTTTTCAACTCATTTTTAACCACACATTTCTCATTAAAATAATTTTACACGTAAATCAAATTTTGTTCTTTTTTAACCACACGTTCTTTCAAAATCAATATTCTAAAATGCATTTTCCCCAAAATGGGGCACAAACAAGGGCTAAGTGTATACCATCATCACTCAAAAAAAAAAAAAAAAAA